GCTTCAGTTACAACACAGGTGAGCAAGCCATGACACTGATGTTTTTATGGGCAGATGCATCCCGAATGCCTGACTCAGACTACTTGAGCAAGACTTTGAAGTCAGGAGTGGCCTGAGTATGGGTNAATCCCATAGAAAAGCAACATTTTGCAGTAATAGCTACCATCTTGTGTCTGTTTAGCACAATGACAGGCTCTGTATTTATTTCATCTCATGGAATACAACACTACGAGGTTGTTATTACATGTATTTTAGACATGAAAATCTAAGACTCTGAATATTAAATGAACTGATCAAGGTGACACAGCTTGTTAAGGAATGAATGCAAGATTCAATCCCAGGTATGCCTGACTTCAAAGGCCATCTTTTCATCCACAATAAGAAATCCTACAAGGGACCTACAGAGAGAACAATTCAGGACTGTGGAATCACCCAATCTGACATACACTTAAATTACTTTACTTTAGAGTTTGATAGACTCTCATGTGGTAGGATGTGAAATATATTCTGGTATCTAGACCAGTCTAAGTGGGGTGTGTCATAAACAATAGTCTCCCAATAAGTTTCCCCCCAAATATTAGACAGCTTAAAGTGCTTAAGAATCAAAGCAATCTAATTCTTAAATCTCACATCTTTGAAAGCTATAATACTGTGTCATGTCTATATATAAAGTAAAAAATGCATGACTCTGGTCTGGCAGCTCAAGAAAGTTACTATTCCACAAATTGTCTTGACATCTTAGTTTGATATCTTTATGGCTTTCATGCAATAAAAAATAGGTGTCTTCCTAACAGTTGATATAGAATTATGGACTCAGGGCTGGGTGGAGAATTAGTAACTACTTGTTCAAACCTCATTTTACAAAAGTGAACAGTGGGGCGGTGTGGCTACGTGATTATGACTAGAAGCTACTATGTCATCTAAAATTGAGAATCTTGTTTATCAGAATATCTTGACAGCTATTAGCCTATACACAGATTCCCAGGCATCTCTCCATCAGGGAGTGTGTGAGTGTCAGGGAAAATTTCACTGCTCACAGCAACATCTGAGAAATTTTAGCCAGAACTCTAAAGAGCAGTAGAAAGAGCAAGGAATTTAGAGTCTAATAAATGTAACTCTTAATCCCTACTAAATTAAGAGCCTCCGTTTCCTTTTGTGTAAAATGAGAAAAACAAGTCATCTCATAGATTAGGAACATTCTATCAGTTCTAAGTCTTAAGATAACCTTCCGAGATGACGATCACATAACTTATGACATGAACTAGGGATTCATCCAAGCTCTATCTTCATTAAAGACTCTGTAACAGTAAACTTACGACAGATGTGATGTACACAGCAGTTAAGAGGACAAGGCCTTGGGTTATGCTAAGCCTCGTTTTCCTCATCAATAAAATAAGGATAATTATAGCACCTCCTTCATACTTTTTAAATAAATGGAGCTACTTATAACTCAGCAGGTTAACTGTGAAATCAAGTATCCTGAGGCTATGAGCAGACTGTGCATGTACACATCCTAATTAGGAAGCCTGCACAGGCAAGAAGTAAAAGCAAGGGTTAATTGACTGGTAGATTATTCTTTCATTAATTTGAACTGTTTACTAAGTGATAGGCACTGTGAGCACTGAGAAGATAATGGTGAGCAAATAGCCCTGATGGAGTGCAGTCTAACTGGGAGGCAAAAGACAGTCATTAAACGGACAAGTAAACAGTTACATCTCAGTGAGAGCTGTGGAGGAAGACAGAGTGTTCTGAGAGGTATTCAGAGGGACATGACCTGGTCTTGGGAGGTCAAAGAAGGCCTCTCTAAATATAACTTGACTCTGAGTAAACATCTGAGCTGGCCTGTGGGGATCGGGTTGGCAGGGAATGGTTTAAGATGTGACTGGAGACGCAGCAGAGGCCAGGTCATGCAGGCCTTAGAGCAACGGTTCTCAACCTTTCACAGGGGTCGCCTAAGACCATCGGAAAACACATATTTTTGATGATCTTAGGAACCGAGACACCGCTCCTCTATCCGTCTCCAGGCCCACATGCAGATACGCCCACATAGGAGTACCCGGCAACCCCTGTGAAAGGGTCGTTCGACCTCCAAAGGGGTGGAGACCCATAGGTTGAGAACTGCTGCCTTAGAGGAGAGGTTTTAATCAGAGAAATGATGTGATCAGATTTGCATATTTAAAAGCTCACTCTGCATGCAGTGTGGTGAACAGATGGGAGGGGATGAGAATACAAGTAGGGAAGAGACTAGTTAGTCTATTTCACCAGATTAGGTGAGAAATCATGGTGCCTTGGATGTGTCTCATGAATAAGAAAAAGCAGACTTAGAGAATTACTTAAAAATAAAGTAGCTCTGGTTACTTTATTTACTTGTTCTGGTTACTGGGCCCAATAGTTACCACCTAAATAAACAAGAGCCAAAGAAAATTATATTAGATAATTCTCAATCTGGATACAAGATGACAATTATAACCACAAAAACAATGCCTAGTGGCTCCCAAGTATCAGAAATGGTGACCTAGGCTCCTGAGGCTTTCTTTCTAGGCAGGAGGACAAAGGAGAGGCAAGGGCCCTGGGATAACACTCAGGGACACTGCTCAGTGACTAAGAGCCCCAAGTGGAGCAGTGAAGGAGATGTCTGCTGCATGCTTTCTCCTACAGATTTATCAGGTTGGTGTGGTTAAGAAAGGCCTACATGAGGAAGGGGAAAAGATAACTGGTATACGTGACTTTATCACTTTAGAGTTGTGGGCACATGTATCTTTCTGATTAGGCCACATCCTACAAAAACTTTCCACACAGCCTTCTTAGGCATGCAACAGAATAATAGAGAAACCAAAGGAGGAAATGGAAAAATAATTCATTTCATCTGAAGAAAAATCTCTCTCCTTGAGGAATATTTAGTTTAGCAAATACCAACATATGGGTAAACCAAACACAAGTCACTTGCTATANTTGAAATAACCACAGGGTTTTAATGATAATCCTAGTTTCAGAAATACATTAATGAGATATATGATGTTAATTGGTTTTGTGATAGTAAACCAATTAGTCATAATATGAGAGCTATATGTATTATATATCACATATTAATATATATGTGCATATATTTTATATATGTATATGGGGGTGTGCGTGTGTGTGTATATTATATATATATATTTATTTATTTATTTAATTTCCCCCCTCCCAGTTGGACTGTTTGCTGGTATTATGATTTTTTTCCTAAACTTTACTGGGGAACAATGTGTTTTTCCCCAGACCCATCAGCTCCAAGTCCAGTCGCCGTTTTCAATCTAGTTGTGGGGGGGTGAAGGGTGGGGGGGGCGTAACCCACCATCCCATGTGGGAGTTGAACTGACAACCTTGTTGTTAAGAGCATGTGCTCTAATCAACTGAGCCACCTGGCCACCCCTGGTATTATGATTTTTATTGTATTAGCGTTCATGAGTCAGTTTGACTAATTTTCCACCTACTTTTCTAAGAAGGTTCACAAAAAGAGTTGAATTGGGTCTGCCTGTTTCTATATTCTGTTTGCAAATTCTTAGGGGAGATTTGTTTCCCCCACTGCACCTCCTGTCAAGGCTGAAATAGGCAGGTTTTCTTTGGTGTGGTAGGACTTATTTCTCATTCTCACTTACACTGAGGTACAGATGTCAGGATCCTAGCTTTATACAGGTGTTTGCTATTCATCTTCCCGCCTTAGGCAAGGTCTAGGCCTTGTCTCTTACCTTTCCATCTATTTGTCAAGGCAAAGCTCAGTGTCCCCCAAATTCAGCAGAAACCCTACAAGTGAAAGCTGGCTTTAGTGTGTGAACTGCTCACTTGTTCTCACCTTGTTTTGAGATCTTGCAAAATTTCTTTTGTGCCAACTCAGTGACGAATTTAAAACTGTGTTTTGTATTTTATACAGCATCTTAGCTTTCCCGTTGGAAAAGTTATTCAGACTCCCTAATCTACCATACAGCCCAAACTGGAAGTTGTGGTGGTGGTGATTTCAGCCAATTTCCCTTTCACGTTTCCATCATCACCTCACACTGTTTTCCTCCTAAGTCTAGGCTCCTGCTTCATAAAGGTTATGTGTTGACTTTATGTCCATTATCTATTACTTATAGAAAATTCACAGAGATATTCTGTTCCTTCTTTAGGCAACGTTCTCCTTCCTAAAGCTGCTGTATCTTCTCATCGCCCCAATGCCGGTTTTTCCTATTTATCCATCTTTGAATAGGGAGAGGTGTAAGTCCAGCAGATGCTAACAAACAAAACAGATCTAGTGGCTTTGACTTACACTATGCTCCACTTAACTAAATTTAACCTACTAAATGTGAACTGCAATGTTAAGTTGACAGAGACAGCCTCTAACTCAAACTGCGATGACAAACAGAAATTCAACTAATATAGGTCTAGTACACTGAAGTCAGGTTCTCTTCCTGATACACAAGAACTAAGCCAGAGTCCAGCAGTAGATAATTCTTTGAAAAATGTGCATCATGAAAGACTGCCACCATGGGCCCCCAATAGTCTTCCTGTATTATCCAAAATTATAGTGCTTTTCAATATACAATTAAGCATTTCAGGATGTAACACCTATCTCCCCACCCTCTTCTATGTCTTGCTGTTCTACAGTTCGTGTAAGAATGTAGGCAGAGGCGAGATGACCTTTCAGCCCCAGTGTTAGCCTTAGAGAGTACGGACAAGTAAAGGATTTTATCCTATTGTCCCTGAGTTCACTGTTCATCTGTTCTGCTCCCATTTAGTGAACAGAGTATATAGATAGTATACATCTTAATATCCTAACTAACAAGACAGTTTGCAAACATTCCTTCCAGACTTCAGAACATGGTCTTCTTCATATTTAGTTTACAGTGCTCTTTATGGGTATTTTAAAGGAAACTTCAGAGGAAATTATATTTCCATTTGTTTAAAAACATAGAATTTTGCAACTTACCATATAGTTTAGGACAAACACACTGAAAACAAATTTATAGATTGCAGAAAATTACCTGTCATGTTTGATCCTGGCCAAGAGTGGCTCCAGCCATCCCACTGTACACTCACAATGAGCATCTAAGAAGGTGATCACCTGGCCTTTAGACACAGCAGCTCCTTTTAATCTAGCTCTGATCAATCCAGAACGTTGTTCCATTCGAATTACATGAACTGGCACTTTTAATTTTTTCACATAACTCTCTAAAGGTCTTTTCAAAAAGTCTGAAAAATGAACACAACAAAAATAACATGAAAAAACTGACCTGGCATTATCCAGATGTAAAGCAATTTTTATGTGCAATAATATTCATTCAACACATATTTACTGAGGCTCCCTGACTCACAAACCCGTTTTGCTACAGGAAGTCTTTTTATTTCCTGAGAGAAAGTACTAGGGCTGCCTTTACCTTATAACACTAAGAATTAGGAGAGCCTTTGGGTACAGGTTCGGTCAAAGATAGCTATGTTACCGCTTTTCTCTGACCAACTCTTTGTCAGGCTCAATTCTTCTTTTTCTAATCATGCCTAAAGATCAGGAACAGAAAGAAAGTAGTTCAGAGCATTAAATCCAGACTGCAATAGAGAAAAGGAACAGAATATAGGAACAGCAATAGCTGTTAGAGTTTAGAAATTTATGGGATTTCTTCAAAGGTAGGAAGAAACTAATCATCTTAATGATTATACTACAGTCTTCGACTATGTAGTTCTTTTATCAGGAGGTATGAAATGAGGTCAAGTTCAGAAGAGAAATGATGGACTGTAACTGCAAGACCTAACAGAACTCCTTAACAGACAAGTAGGTCTAAGTAAAAATGGTTTTAAGAGGAAAGGGCAACTGAAGAGGAAAAGGGGGAAGGGAGAGGAGAAGGATGTATAAAATCAACAGCTATCCTGGAGCCGTGCTGACAGAGGTTATACTCCTAGGCCAAGGATGTCCTGCCTCCAAAGTACATAATTGCCTTTAAAAAGCAGAAAAGGCTCGGCTTCCTCAAAGCAAAGAGAAGGAATCTTTTATCAGGTTATTTCATGGTATTTATGCCACAGAAGATATTTGGTATGGCCAAATGTCTTTCTAACTAGTCCCCATCCAATCAGTATGAGGATAAGATCTCTAGGAAAGGAAAAACTTGAGATGGAACTACTGGAACTCCTATGACTGGCTTTGTCCCATAGGACTCTAATAATGGGACAGTCATATGGAAATGTGTACATATTAAGGGGCTCTTTAAGTACTAAAAGTGGGGATCCAAAGGGCTTCCTGTATGGCAGAGAGAGAAAGACAATTAGGAGTGAAATGGTTCTTGCCTGTGTTAAGTGGCTGGAATGACTCAATATTGATATAATCAGGGATATGAAAATTGTGAAAGAGAAAGGCCTACATGTCCCATTATACCAGAATACCCATCATTTCCTCTGCTGCTAATATATTTCCTAACATATTTGGGCTAAAAAGAATATCTGAAAAATATCTGGAGAATTCCTACCTGATCA